TTTTTGGACAAAATATTTCTAGTTTTAGTGATATTACACAGGTGGAAGAAGGTGGTCCTGGTAACATTTTTAATGTGTGTGTGTTAAAAAGACATGTCCTGATCAAAAATAACACCAAGGTTCTTTACATTAGAACTGGAGGCCAGATTAATGCATCCAGAGGAGCTGAAAGGCTACAAAGTTGATCCCTAAGATGTTCAGGTCCAAGAACCAGAACCTCTGTCTTATCTGAGGTTAGAAGCAGAAAGTTAAGAGTCATCATGTTTTTATGTCTGTAAGACATGCTTGTAGTTTAATAACTGGTTGGATTCATCAGGTTTCATGGATAAATATAACTGAGTATCATCAGCGTAACAATGGAAATTTATCCCATGCTGTTTAATAACTTTACCTAATGGAAGCATATACAAAGTAAAGAGGATTGGTCCAAGCATTGAACCCTGAGGAACTCCATGACTAACTCTGGTGTAAGAAGAAGATTCATTAAATGACATCATCAAAATAAACGTGTTTCAAAGTAGTTTGTAGGAAAATGCTCCAAGGCACTGCTGCACATGTCAGAATTTGTCCTGGTTTGTGTTTTGGTTTGTTTATTTTTTGGTCCAACCCCACCACATCCCTTAAGTATTAATATATTTATTGGTAAATTTAAAACAGTAAATAATATATTTTTTACTTGTTTTCAGGAGACACAGTTCCTTCTGGATGAGATCAAACGGGTTCACAGAATGAGGGGAAGCTACAGCCAGGACCTGTGGTATGAAAACACTTTGTAATGTCAAATCTGGTCTGAGACTGAGTAATAACACAGGTCTAAAGCAGGGCTGTGGATTGGCAAGTATTTGGTGATATGATACATATCATTGTCAGGTTGTGTGCAGAAATGAACCCAGGTCAGGACGGAGGATGAAGCTTTTAAATAAATGATTTATTAAATAAACAGAGCAAAGAGCTGACAGGGCAGCTAAATAAAACTGAAACTCTGAGGAACACGGAGGGGAGCGAGACAGAAAGAAAAATCCATGTAATGATCCAGTGGAGGATGAAGAGATGAGGAGTATTAATGCACACAGAGGAAGAGAGAAGATGAACAACAGCTGAGGAGAACTAATGAGAAACGACTGCAGTGTTTCCTCTGTGTGGGGGGGGCTACTTGTTTTATAAAAGCATAAATTTACGTGACTCACCTGCACTTATGGTAATAAGCTGTGGCGGCTGTGGTGTAGTGGTAGAGCAGCTGGCTTTGGGACCCGCAAGTCACAGGTTCGATCCCCCGTCCAGCCGTCTCAGTCGTCGTGTCCTTGGGCAAGACACTTCACCCACCTTGCCTACTGATGGTGGTCAGAGGGGCCGGTGGCGCAGCATGGCAGCCCCGCCTCTGTCAGTCTGCCCCAGGGCAGCTGTGGCTACAGTGTAGCTTACTGCCATCAGTGTGTGAATGTGAGTGTGAATGAATGATGCATGAAAAGTTGTAAAGTGTCTTTGAGGGTCTCGAAAAGCGCTATATAAAACTAATGCATTATTATTATTATTATTATTATAAATTTACACATACATGAATATTTAACTGCCTAACTACATCCTAGTTAAGGACTCTTCATGATAATGATCAATAAAATGATTATTGATAATAAGTGATCAGAACTGTGTGCAGCAGATGATCTGAGTCCAGAGTTGTCAGTTTGAAACCTTCTGGAGCTCTTCTGTGTGACTCCAGGTGTGACAGAGTGTGGATGGTTGATTGTCTCTTTGTGTCCCTGATGGAGACTGGAGACCTGTCCAGGTGTCTCTGGTGAACTTGGTGAACTGGAGACCTGTCCAGGTGTCTCTGGTGAACTGGAGACCTGTCCAGGTGTGTCTGGTGAACTG